AGGACTGGACAAGGAAATATGCAGCATCCTTGGAGTGCCAAGAGCTGGTTCACTCTTTTTTTTTTTTTAAACTTTCTTTTTTTATATATATTTTTTATTTATTTATTTATTATGTATACAGTGTTCTATCTGTGTGTATGCCTGCAGGCCAGAAGAGGGCACCACACCCCATTACGGATGGTTGTGAGCCACCATGTGGTTGCTGGGAATTGAACTCGGGACCTTTGGAAGAGCAGGCAATGCTCTTAACCACTGAGCCATCTCTCCAGCCCCTGGTTCACTCTTTTAAAAGGAGGTTTTCAAAGCAGATTTGTTTCTCAGCACTCAGCAGCAATTACTGCCACTCTTAGGAACGCTGAAGATGCCACCTTTTGTTATAAATTACACCCCCGCTGGACACAGTTGTGACTTGGGCTGCTTGTTTGATCATTTGAAAAAACAGCCCGCTTTCTCATTCACTTGTCCCTTGTCCCTTGTCCTCCCGACAAGAGCAGGTTATTTCGCAGCCGGTGTACACGGCAGTGGAACTCATCTTTCCTGCCGTCTGTGTGGCTCCCAGTGGCGTCTCTGGTTTGCTGTGCTCTGAACCATATGAGGCTGTGGCCCAATGCTCAGTTTCAAAGCTGTGCCTGCCAGAAAGGAAGACACCCAGGGCTTCCACCAGGACGCGGGGGAAGCTGGATTAGGGGATGCTGCATAGGAAACTTCAGTTGCTTTGCTCTTTCCCTTTGAGTCCCCCAAATAGCATATTAAAGATTGTTATTTATCAGTCGGGAGCGATAGCCCCCCCCTCCTCCAGGTGCTTAAGAGCGCTTACTGCCCTTGCAGAGGATCCCAGTTCAGTCTGAGAACCCATTTTAGGCTGCTCACAGCCCTGTAACTCTGTCTTCATGAGCTCCAATGCCCTCTCCTGGCCTATGTGGACATTTTCACATGCGGCATACACACATGCACATTTTTAAAAATGGAATAATTTCGCCGGGCGGTGGTGGCGCACGCCTTTAATCCCAGCACTCGGGAGGCAGAGGCAGGCGAATCTCTGTGAGTTTGAGACCAGCCTGGTCTGCAGAGCTAGTTCCAGGACAGGCTCCAAAGCTACAGAGAAACCCTGTCTCGAAAAACCAAAAAAAAAAAAATGGAATAATTTACACATAAAAATTATTCTACATCTTCTAATAATGTTTTAAGTTTTCAAATATTTAGAACTCTTTAGTACTCTGTTCATATTAGAATAAAAAATGCCACCCCCAGAAGTAGGAAACTTATCAAAGATAATTGGCACATTTTCTTTTGTTCATTTTCCTATAGTCAGTTCTCCTGCCAGCTTCGTGCTTTTCAACTACTAAATGCTAACACCTCATCTAGCCCATGCTAGTTATTCAGTAAGTGTCGAACAAATAAAAGAAACCCGTTACAAACAGCATACACCACACAGATGCTTTCTTCTTGATCCTGGAAGTCAGTAAAGAACATATATGGTCCCCACTGAGTCTTTGTTTGGGTAAATCTCGATTGTCCCATTTCAGCAGAGCCCTCTGCTATCAGCAGGGTCTCCCCTCCAGGATCCAGTGGGAAGGGAATGAGCCCTAGGGAAGAAGAGGGAATCACCAGTCCTTGATAGAGCTGTAAGAATGAACATGTCTGCTTCTGAACACAGTTCTCGTCCTGGAGTTACCCATATGAGTGAGGTTGGGGAGATGGCTCAGTCAGTAAAGCGCTTGTTAGTCCAGCACTGGGGAGAGAAAGACAGACAGGATAACTGAGGCTTGCTGGCTGACCAAAGCAACCTAACGGGCAGACTCCAAGCCAATGAGAGACCTTGTCCCAAAGTACAAGATGGTTGGTGACCGAGGGATGGCATCTACAGCTGCCCTCTAACCTCTGCTCTTGTGTGCACATAAACACACGTGTACACACAAACAGCCTACACACACACACATACACATACACACACACGCGCGTGCACACGCACACTATGTGAGTGCAGGCTCCACCCTCAGCCATGGACAGACACTTTTCTGCTGGTCTTTCCTACGGAGCAGCTCTCAAAGCTCAACCAGGCAGGGCTAGAGGTGTGCTCCACACGATGAGGTAGTAGCACTGTCCTAAGACACCCTTCATCTTTCTCTAGTGCTTGTCAGACAAGGACAGTGATTGTGATCACAAGTACTAGTGTCCCAGCCTGTGTTCTGGAAAACAAAACTAGGAATGTTACCAGCCAAGGAACCTTCTCTGAAGGCTGTTGAGATCGATAGTTGTGTTTGTATGAGAAGGCGAGGAAGTAGGATTTACTTTCTTCCTGTACCCCACAGTATAACACAGAATCCACACAGGGGTAGTTGTATCTATTTAAGTTCAGTGTGAGTTAAACATGCTTTGGCTAACTGAGGAGGGGGTAATACTGTTTGCAATCTTGCAGTGTTGTACTTAGGACCCCTTTGAACTTGTCTAGAGGAGCATGACCAGAAAGAAGATCTGTGTGCTAAAACATGGTTATCAATTTCTACTTAGCTCAGAAACAGATTAATGACTGGCATCAGATGCTTGCAGGATTGATTAGTGATCTGTCCCATTTGGCCCTAGAGAGTATCTGGTGAGTGGAACCCTGAAATGACCATATCCGAGCCATAAAATCAGTAACTCCAAACACATGGTGCTGACTGGAGATCCATCCCTCAGGGGACTTCATGGGGAGCTTGGCAGTTCCTCCTCAGATCTAAGTTGCCTAACTGCCTGTAGACAACTGATCAAACACACCATGGGCCCATGGGAGAGGCACGGAGGGAGGCTCGCCCATTAGTCTGACTGGAATTGGGTGAAAATGATCTTTTTTCTTTCCTCTAATTTGTTTGGAAAGTTCTCCTAGCAAGATAGTTTGATTTTGTGTGGTTTGTTTTGTTTCATTTTGCTTAGAAAAATGGGAGATGATCCCACCTGTTTGGTTATGAAAGATCTCAAAGGAAAAACAAAGAATGGATGGTTATTGAACCTCTCTGCCTGGGTGGAGGACAAGCTTGAGAGTAAGATGAGTTGAGGAAAATGTGGCTTATTGATAGGCAATCAATCAAACAACATAAAAGAATAGGGAAAAAACTGTCTTGCTGCCATTATCAGGAGAAGCCATGACTGCACTGAGCACCCCCACCTCAAAGTTCTTGGCACAGAGAATAAGAAGGGTGAGTGTTTCTCGTGATGGGCTTGAATCTGATCCCCAAATTATGGGTAGAGTTCATGTCTCTCCATGGGTGTTCAGATCACTGCTTGGAGATCCAGTATGCTCCAAATATCATTTTACCTTAATTTTGAAAGCAAACAGTGTCTGCAGTATAATGGATTGACTGTCACACATTTTCAAGCAAACTCTTGTGAATGAGAAGTTCACTGACACAAACGCAGTGGCAGATGTCTTCTCCAGCTAAGAAGAGCCTGTGTCTGCTGGCAACTCTGGGTGGTCACATTCCAGATCTTTTCAGGAAACTAAGAAGTCAGTTTCCCTTTAAGTTGATTGTAACATAAATAACATGAGCCGGGGGAGGGCTGTAAAACAGCGCAGCAGATCTGGGCACCTGCCGCCAACTCTGACAATTCAGGCCCTGGAACCTGCAGGACAGAAGTAGACAACCAGCTCCTGCAGGTTGTCCCCAAACCTCTGCACATGCGCACACACGCACACACACAAATAAATAAATAAATGGGAAGAACAATAATTTCTTTTTAATTTATTATATCTGTACAAAGAAATGATCAGACATCCCGAGTCACCCCAACTATATGAAGTTTAAGTAGAAACTTCACTCTTATTATTCTTGGGGATATAAAGCTTTAGGCCCCTATCCTTTTCTCTGATATTTGATTTATAGAAAAAAAATTAAATCTCACCTCAGGGATAAGACCAAAGTCTGAAAAGCTAACATTAATATTGTGAGATTGGAAATGAAAACGAGGCTGCTGCTTTGCAGTGTTAAAACCTGAGGTCGCCCCTCTTATGAAGTCTCCAGACAGGATTATGTTCTACACACACACACTCTCTCTCTCTCTCTCTCTCTCTCTCTCTCTCTCTCTCTCGAGCATACACTGTTGCTTGAACCTACACTGTGGTATTTTGATCAGAAACAGCTGTGTACAAAGACAAACCACTAACAAGATAAGTCCTAGTAACACCCACTGGTCACCAAAACAAAATCCCCTTTTCAATGAGAAAGTGTTTCCTTGAGGGTCTGGAGCCTGACACACCATCTCTACTTCCTGAATCTTCACCATTGAACTGAGTTTACCAGGACTCTAGGCCGCGACCGAGACCTCCCTTTAATCCAATAGTGGCTGTCACACCAGGCCTTTGTGAGCAGCCGCAGACACCTCCCACCTGTGCCCTCCCCCCACCCCGTCCACTCTGCTATTATTAGAGAACTGGGACGAGTTAAGTGGTGTCCATAGAACGTGAGACTAATTCAGAAACAAGGAGGGTCTCATCCCTCAGTTGTCAGGCCTGTATTTCTTCCTCCACTCAAAGATCATGTCTTGAGTGTTCTAAGATTAAAACTATCTCTAGAAATTGAGGGAATGCGTTAGTAAAGGAAAAATGTTCCACGGTTTCTAAAAGTTATCATGTCCTAAATAGAAGCTCTTGGAGAAACCATTGTTAAAAGCACAGTAACTTGAGGAGTAGTTGAAGAAAAAAAAAAAGGGGGGGGTGTAGATTTCCTCGTCAATGTATAAAATGTTCCTGAAAGTCTCAATGTTTCTCATGTAACATGCTTTTCTATTGCTAAATGTCAGAGAACTTAAAATGGTTGCCGGTGGTGCTGGAGTGGTTGTCTGGTCTGGGTTCCGGACCCACGGAGAATTCCCAGTCTCGGACACACGGGTTTGCTAATACCTGTGGGCGGCTCCTGCCGGACTGATGAATGTTTGTGTGACCGCTGGCTTAGACAGGCTTTGGGAACCTGGCCCGGGCGGCCAGCAAATATCTGATCTCTGGTTTGCATTGATCTTACATTTAGACACAGATTCAGAAGAACAGACCCTCCCTTTTCCAGTGCCTTCGGAAAGATTGCCGCTCCGTAGAATGAGTCCCTTCTCCTCCACCCTTAATCTGCAACCCAGCTTCCCCGGGAGATCCTACTTTGATTTCCGATCCTCACCCCATCAGCTGAGCTTGCACTCTTCCTTGCAGTCTCTCAATGCACCCGGTGAGCTGAGCTGTTGGATCTTTCCCTTCATCTCTGTGTCTTGGAGGCATCTCTGAAAAACGTGTGTCGTTCTTGCCATCTGTGTGCGTGGTGGTAGTGGTGGTAGGGGGTGGGGTGGTGACTTGTGTCTGTGTCTGTGGCTTCCAGTGTGGCTGAGGGAGCTTTCTGGCATTCTTGTTTGTATGGTGGAACGACCCACCCCAGAGCTGTGGTCCATGTGTGATGGCATCGGAACGGGATGCACCAAGTTGTTCTTTTTGCATCAGCGGGTACCACCATGGAAAACTTGGTCTTCATCACATGCAACGCCATAGCACGGCATAGGCACTGACTGAGTAGAGGCAGTAGTGTGGAGGTTTGCAACCTTCTGGATCCAGGAAACCAGCTGTGTCTGGGAGACCGGATCGGTGCATCCAGCCTGGAGTGGTCTGATTAAACATAGACTCAAGAGATCTTTACTGACAAAAATAAAACGAAAAGCAAAACAAAACAAAAAACCATGCCGATAGCAGAATACATCCTACAAAGCAGGGGAAGCAGAGAGCAGGAAATTAAAGCCTTTGTGACTGTAGGCCACAGCATGTCACTTTCCCTAGCAAAGGGCAGGAGCCACTGTTGGCCGAATTAGAAACCCTTCCTCGTGATGCCAAAGGCCAGAGATCCTATAATCAAAATAAGCGGCCTCACAGCCAAATGCAGCAGAGCTATGGTTGGGTCCAGCGAAGCTAGATTCGGGTTATTTTGCAGTGAGCTCTTGTCTAGCAAGCAGAATCAAATTCCTAAAACGCAGAGCTAGCTGATCTCTTCGGGGCTATATTGTAATCACGGATACATGATGCACATCTCACGTTCCGGGGTTTCTTTGGGGTTTTATTTTATCCCTTTGGCTCATCCCACATCCTGGAATGAAGAAGGCCACAGCATGACGGTGCAAAAGGGATGCAGGGACTTCGAGCTCCCTTGAACAGTGACATTTTTCTTGTGTTTTTCTGTTTCTTGTGTTTCTGTGCACTACTGGCTTTTCCCACATGCTTTTGTTATGGAGTCCTCTGCCTGTCTCTAATGTACCAAAACACTGTTACAGTCTTTGTAATGTATATTGTCTCAAGAATAAAATAATGAAATGTGGGGTTGGGGTACTTGGCAGGTGGATTTAATAGCCTTGTTCTGGTTGTATCATTGAATCGTAAATGGATGATGTTGTCTTTAAATTGGTAGAAAAAGAGTTAAGAATATTTGTTTTTTAAAAAAAAAAAACACCCCACAAGGCATGATTCATTTAAAAATTTTGAAAGCCCTATTCAGATTCCACAAATTTACTTCCAAACCTGGACATGAAATGTGGTTTTGAAATTCTTTATAGCCCATACTTACTGTGTTCCAATTCATAATGAAGAATTGAAAAGGCAGCTGGCAAAAAAGTTAAACATAAAAAGATCACCTGAGCTGGAAGATGATGAATGTATCCCAGAATAAAGTAAGCTGAGCAAGAGAAGGTTATAACGTTTAAATTGCTACCTGGAGCTCTTTTATAGGAACTAATTCTTGTAAAATTCTTTTAAGTCAGCACCTTATCTTCCAATTGTTTTAGAAATTAGCTTATTAGGACAATATAAATTGCAAAAGTTTGCATGATTCTTTCCTCCAAAGATTCCCATTTCTTAGACCAGAGCTCAACATCATTGGAAATTGTAGGTCACACACCTGTGGACACTTCCAGTCCAAGTCACTTTCCTCCTCCTTCACACGGGTTCTCATCAGAAGGGAACTAAAAAAAAAAAAAAAATTAAAATAAAAAGGGAAACCAGACATTAGGGAAGATGAGAGCAGAAGTCCCACAAGTGATTCCTATATAGCTCCGAGCCCACGTCCCACCCCACATCAGCCTTCCTCCCCTCCCTCAGGTGAGAAGAGTTGCTGTAGCAAAGCGAACTAAGAAGGAAAGTAATCTTTGTTGTCAGCACAGTCGATTCGTGTGATTGTTGATTACGAGGCATTCATAGCAGACATGTAGATTCCACACTTCTTTACACGTGGAATGCTTGCCCTGCCCTCATCACAGCAAACAAAGGCTTCCTGCCATAAGCCAGTAGGAAATCAGAAATCAGTAGACTATTGCCCCAGAGCAGAGTTATTACTCCTGGGTGATTTCTTTTCTACTTCTATTGAGCAACTTTTTCTCATCTTTAAGACAGTTGAGCTCCTCAGCTTGCAAATGTTAGTGTATAAAATTGAACCAGAAAGACAATGAACATTTAAGCTGCAGCATTTGAAGCCAGTTGGACAAAGATTTTGCCAAGATGTAAAAAGATGAACTTTTCATTTGGAGAGAGCACAAAAGCAATATATACCAAGCAAAGAAAAGGAACACTAAAAGGGCTTTGGTTTTTTATTTTCTGTCTTTTTTTTATGAATCAGGCCTCTGGGGACCGTACTCGGTTGTGCTTTCTAAGTGAATGCAAAATGGCTTTTATGAACCTGGTTGTCCCTTCACAGCCTTGATGTGTAGTATCTTTTTATAGGATGCAATTTTGAGACACAGTCTGCATCTTACTCTCAATTAGGCAAGTATACCCACTGTAATTGTTACTTTCGCCTGTGTGACTGCTACGCTCAATTCCTTTGCAAAAGAAATGGTGGTGGCTTTGTCATGTCAATAAAATTTTCCAAATGTCATTCTAACTCCATTATAACAGTTTCTCAATTTCTTAGAAAATGCCTGTCTTCTTTTTTTTTTTTTAACATTATACCTTAATCCCCCTCCCCCCACTTTCTTCTACATCAATGGCCAAACAGTCTTTCTGAGCACTGAATGTCAGTCGTGGCACGAGTCGGCCGGCTGTTGTGTTGTAATGTTCTCAGTGGAGCCCTTGTTGGTATTAGTCTATCAAAAGAAACGTGTTTTCTTGTCAATGTCAATTTTGCTTCCTGTTTCTCTCCCCCATGCCTTTCATTGGAATGACCACAGTTGACATTAAAAAGCTGCTCGCAGGTATGGACTAACATTATTCTCTTACACATAGCAGAGGCCAAGTGCATGCGAGGGGCTGCAGGCTCAGCCCCTCAGCCTCTGACTTCTCGGGATCGCTCTTTCAGGTGATAGATAGAAACTGGGCACAGCTGTGTATATAAACACCTCACCCTCTCTGCGCCTAACGTCCAAACTGCTTCTGCAATGTCTATTAGATGCCAGTTTTAGGAGTAACACTTATTTATAACTTATCTATAAGTTATAAAGGAAGCAATCTCTCCTGCAACCAAGCCACATGACAATTAGTTTCTGTTGCTTTGCAGCTTCACGACTTGGGTGAGCAGGTATGAGGGCTGCAGGAGCTTTCCCACACTTCTGCCCAAGCGTATTTCCTGATTTCACTCAGTGTGTTCTATCCCTCCTCCATCCAGGGTTATAGATCTAGCCTCCCTGCCTCAGGGCTACACAGGCATCCTAACACACCCCTATACCCTCTATGTCTCTGGTGCACTGGTCCGCCAGTCGCCAGGTGAAGGGGCTCGATGCTACTTCACTCCTGGATCAACTGACTGGGAGTGCAGTCTAAGCCAGGTAACCCCTGCTGACTCGGCCCTGTGTCCTCCGTCTGCTCCCCTGGTGCAGAGTATCAACCCCCAGGATATGCCCCATCTATCAGTTCACTTACGGTGACTCAGGCCCCAGAAACCTCCCTCCTGCCTGGCAGCATGAAAACGGGACACTGTGTGCCACGCTGCCCGGATGCGTGCTGCGATACGGGAAGCCATCCCAATAACTCGCCTCCCTTCTGTCCTCAGTGGCTTGGTTTGCTTTTGACCCGGGCTCGGCACACTCAGACATCATCTTCTCCAATGACAACCTGACGGTGACGTGCAGTAGCTACGACGACCGGGTGGTGTTGGGGAAGACGGGCTTCTCCAAGGGCGTCCACTACTGGGAGCTAACCATAGATCGCTACGACAACCACCCCGATCCAGCGTTTGGCGTGGCTCGCATCGACGTCATGAAGGATGTGATGTTGGGGAAGGACGACAAAGCGTGGGCAATGTATGTGGACAATAACCGGAGCTGGTTCATGCACAACAACTCGCACACCAACAGGTACCCTACAGCCCCACGCCAAGCCTTCTTCATGGTGGCTTGGGGACAGGAGGGAAAGCCCTAGTTCAACACCCTACACGGATAGCACTAGGAAGCAGGGCAGATGGTCTTCATCCACAGCTCCCGTGCTAGGAAATCTCTAGGATGGGCCACTCAACTGGTTTCTACATCACAGAGAGGTAGAGCCGTGTACCTTCTCCTTGGCCCCTCATTGTCAAATTCCACCCAGGGCTACAAAAGAAAACCCAGACTTAGATCTTACCAGACAAGTGTTTTAAAGGGCCAAGGTACTTAATTCTTTCTGAATCTCAGTTTGTCAATGCTCCAAATTCGTATAAGAATGTGTTTCCACGCAGGAGTGATCTGAAGACCACTTGAGATGAGATATGTACTAATGCCCCACATGGGAAGTACCTGGAAATGGAAGCCTTTGTTCTTATTGTCATTATCACCAGTACTGCTTCTCAGAATAAAAGCCATTAACTAAGCTTGGCATTAGGGATACCCGCGTGGATAGCTTTAAACTTGAACTTACTTGTTACTGTGTGTATTACAGCATCGGGTTTGCTGAAGAAAGAGGATATAGTATCTCCTGAAGAAATGTCCTCTATCACCAAAATATAGACAGTTCCAACTGTCTATATTTAATAATTTCCTTTTCCATTTATTTCTGTTTTCTTCAAACATATTTTTCTCCTATCTTCTGGGTCAAAGGTGTCTTTTCATGGACACTGGTCTGTCTTATTCTCAAACATCCCCCCAGGATACATTCTCTTCGGCATCTCTGAAAAAGGTATCCCGTGTTCAGTGAGATCAAAGGGAGAAAGGGCCCAGCAGGGGCAGAATAATGACTTTGCTATTTCAGCTCCTCTTGTAGCTCACACCACTGACCCTTCAATAGCCAGGAAGCTCCCAGAGTCTCCTGGCCCCTGGACACCCTCTGTACAGCTCTATTCATGTATGTCTTACTGGTTATCCCTTGAAGTGAGCACACAAAGCATGTATATCTTGCTATCAAATCCAACAGGACATAGACAGCAGCTATCTTCAGTGACTGACATTCAGGAGGGGCTCTGTCACTAGGTTTCCGACACCACCACCCAAGCACTTGGGTTTAGCCCCTTGATTTTGGAGTGAACATAAGAACAGCGCCATGACACACTACAGAAAAGCACATTCCAGAAGCTGAACACCTCTGCTTGCATGCAAGCTGCATGTCCCTTGTGCTGTCGCTGGCGAATCTGTCACTGGCAGAGATGGAGTCTGTAAGCCTGTCTGTGAGTGACGGTGTCCAGTCTGTCTTCTGCATGCCAGAGAAAAGTGATGCTGATACATTTCTGTGCTCTGCTGAGATGAAGTTCAGTTTTGCAAGGTCTTAAACTCAGGGGAGAAAAGAGGTGTGGCCGTTCCTATCTAAATGTCCTGAGAACTCATCAGTGGCAGCAGAAGACACAGATCTTTGTACGCTGGTACTGGGTTTCTGGAAATCACTGCATTTCCTGTAGTATAACTGTGTCTCAGGGAAGCATCTCCTTCAATGCTGTCGTGTTTACAGAGACACGATAATGCCTTCTTTCTAATTCCACATGCCGAAAGATTAGCATCTTTCCAGAGTGTGTCTACCTGAGTCCAGTAACTTACGCACATGTTCTGGGCTCCACCTAAATAAGTGATCCTTTGTTTTGGCTTTCGGATTACGTCATTCTGTATTAAATGCTGCTAAATTCACACCATTTATACAGTGTGCCATACAGCTGATGTGCTGTATGAAAGGCTCCTTTGGTCCGGGCTTCTGTATTCAGTTTTCTTCTGCTATAGCTCAGTGGTAGAGATTCCATGTGTACCGGTTCACGCTCAGCAAGGCACAGTAAACAAGGGGTTATCATGAGGGGTGGCTGTCTCCACAGGGAATTGGGAGTTTGGGGGAGCAAAGAAATCTAAATCATATTTTCATATGTAAAGCATGAATACATATAAATATAAATAGTATACAGTGTATCTGAGGCTTTAAAGTTTTATGTGAAAAGGGTTTCTTAGAGCAAAAATATGTGCAAAAAAAAAAGCTGAGCTGGGGGGAAAAACTTAAACAGGTTTCAAAATTCTGCTTTGGCTAGGCCTGATGGGACAGGTCTATAGTTCCTTCTACTTGGAAAGTTGTGGCAGAACGATTCCAAGTTTAAGGCTTGCCTGGGCTGTGGGTGGAAGTTCAAGGCCAGCCTGGAGAATTTGGTAAGACCCTGTCTCAATTAAAAATTAATTAAAAAATTAAAAAGAGAGCTGGGGAATAAAACCAGTGGCAGAGCACTTGCCTGCCGTCCATGAGGCCCTAGGGTCAATCTCCGGTATCAAATATCAAAAGCAAAACTAAAGAGGGGTTCCGCAAACCAAAATGGGGAGACTTAAGAATGGCAACAAGCTGATGAGACTCCATTTCCCCCCCTTTTCCCACAGAACCGAAGGGGGGATCACAAAAGGCGCCACCATCGGGGTCCTCCTCGACTTAAACAGAAAGACGTTAACATTTTTCATCAACAATGAGCAGCAAGGTCCCATCGCCTTTGAGAACGTGGAGGGCCTGTTCTTTCCTGCTGTCAGCCTGAACAGGAATGTGCAGGTGAGCACCAGGGCCCTGGGACTAAAGGCGGCTTGCTCAGGCTGCTTCAAGTCTACTGGGGGCAGTAAAGTTCCCACAGCCCCAAGATGCACCAGCAGCCCCTCCCCGCATCCTTGCCATGGTCTGGCTAACCACCCATAGGAAACACAAGCCGTCTCTATCCTGTCTGTCCATGCTTTGCTCTGGTTTCATCTCTAAATAGAATTGAGTGGCTTGGACAGACTGGCAGGGAAGCCATTGAGATGGTTCCTAGCGAGCACCAGGGATGCCCAAGAAAAGCAAACCTTAGGCCCTTATCAGAGAGTGGGAGCAGCTTCGCTCTCATTCGCTCTGCCTTGTGCTATTGACTGGGAAGCACGGGTTGCCTAGGAGTTAGTTACTTGCAGTTTCCTGTAGATACCAAACAGCAGATTCTTCTCGCTTCTTTCCTTAGCGGATATCTACAGGGTCCCTTTAACAAGCCAGGCTCTGCTGTAAATACTAGATATCCAACAGTGGGAAAGAAAAAAAAAAAGAAACAGATACAAAGCTTCCCCCTCCCTAAGCTTATATTCCAGTTACAGACATTAAGTGATATCCACAATGGGGTTATTTATAAGATACATCAGAGGGTCAGTGTCAGGGAAGGGGATCAGCAGCACTGAGGATGTGCTAAGCAGTCACAGCCCTAACCATGGTGGCCAGTGGGCTGGCCTTATTGCAGTCACTGCTGATCCGAATCCTGAAGGAGAAAGGTGGAGTTTTCCAAACAGAAGGCATAACCCAAACTTAGAAGTTTCTAAAGCACTCGGGGCTCTGGATGGGCAGAGAAAGGCAAAGAGGCTGATGGACTGGGGCAGGGAGTAGTGAAGGGGGTGTTTCGGAGCTTGCAAGGGGTGCAGGTGGTGCCCCATCACTGCTAGAATCCAGGACTCCCCCCCCCCCCCCGAGTTGGGAGTTGGTCCTCTCGTTACCCGACATAAACCTCACCAGCCTTAAAATAGGACTTGGAAATCACATGGAATCCCTGCAGAGGATTCATGCCCCACCTACGGCCACAGCCTTGAAGCTCTTTTAAATGAATTGCTGTCTGTGAGCTCGTGCAGTAAAACCACTTACAATCCAGCAACACCTACCTTCAGCTCCCTGCAAGTAGGTGGGACTGTCTGGGGGGCTGGAGTTAAACTCTTCAGAGCCAGCCTGCACATCAGAAGACAGAAAGCTTAAACTGCCGTAGAAGTGGATCTAAGGAAAACCTGACTTGAAGTTGTCCACCTTTTCACCATGTCCCTTCCAAAGACTATCATACTAGCCATGCATCGGGCCTTCAAGGATGTTCTCGAGTCTTTAGACAGACTCTTGGCAGGGATGGTATGGGCAAGAAGAGGGAAGGGGCCCTGTTTATGAAATGCTTCCAGTCTTTCCCCATAGCTATTCACCATAGTTGGAGGTTGACTAGAAGTTGGTGCAGCTACATAAGTGCCCGTGTTTCTTCCTACTAAAGTCCTTCGTTCAACCCCAGAAAGAAAGGCTTGTCCACACCGGGAACTCACCAACAAGCTAATACGATCTTTGTCCATAGACTTGGGCAGTAGTCACTGTGTGTAGAAGGTGTCCCTGCCTGCAGATGAGGGCCTTACCTTCAGCCAAAAGAAAATGCAGTCCCCCAGAATACTTTAAAAGAGGTGGGAATTGTGTCTCCTGGGTTTGGAAACCCACCATGGTGGCCAGGCTCTTACTGCAGCTAGAAGTCCCTATAGCGTCTTCTAGGATAGAAGTTCAAAGACGTGAATGGGCCCTTACCGAATGGAGGGCACACAAACTGCGCTGTGACTGGACGATTGTAAGCACACATCCCGCATAGCTTACAGTCTCATCCCCCAGGTCACGCTCCACACTGGGCTTCCGGTCCCCGACTTCTACTCCAGCAGAGCTTCCATAGCCTAAGGGTGTGCTGTGGGGGCACTAGCTGTCCCTGAGAGGGACAGCATGGAGCCACCGGCCTCGGCAGATGCAGAGTTGGTAGAAGACAGAGACGGAGGAGAACAGCCGGTCCTCTACCATCTTCGCCCCTACAGCTCTGCCCCTTTCCCATGAGCCTCTCTGCATCACTCGCCTGAGCTCCTTTCCTCATCCAGACGTTCTAACCCACAGAGGACCTCGGCAGCCCACCGTTCCCTTCGTTTCCACTTTCACTTGTTGCTTTTCTTTCATTTAGGGTTTGTTTTTGTTTGTTTGCTTTTAAATGCAGATCGAGTTCGTTTTGTTTCTTTTCTGATCATGTTTTGCTGACTTACCTACCTAACTGGCCCTGCCAAGAGAAAATCATCCTAGAAACCTTTTCCTTAAGCTTTGCTTCACACAAAGATGTTATAGGAGAGCAGGTAGGAAAGAAGTCGAATTCAGAGTTTGCCATTTGACTCCTAGAATGTTCTCACCCTATTTCTTGTCCAAGCAACGTCAGCTCTTCAAGGCTATTTCTCGGGAGGTGGGCAGAGTGCACCTGGCACCCACAAGTCGTAACCACACCCTGAAGAACAAATGTATCAGTGAGACAAGGTCACAGCAGGGTGAGGACAATTCAGAGGTGCTCCAGACACTGGGCAGGCCCGGGGACTCAATTTGATTCGTTTAGTTAATACAAGTTTTTAATTAAGAATACTATGGACCCGGTACTGTTCCAGACTCTAGAATTCTGTATTCTAGACACTGGGGAGGGACCAGGGAAAAGGTGACCAGTCTATTTTCCTGGAATGTATACTCTGGAAGGAGAACAAAGCAAATAACTTCAAGTTGTTCTAAGTACAAAAGTCAAGAATCAAAAAAGGTGTCGTGGACAAACCCTTAGATTGACGCTGAACCCACGCACTCCGGCCGTCACACCAGACGTGTACCAACCCAGTGCTTTTCCCACCGCGCTCTCTGAATTATGGTCCTTGCTGCCACTCACCACAGCCCTTCTTTGGCAGAAATGATGTCAGCATTGTTACTCATTATGCTGCAGTCATAATAAGCCTTAAAAAAAAAAAAGAATGCTAAAAACAAAATGACCAGAGGGCACAGGACCCAGTCACTGTACTGAGGCTCCTACGTTGCAGGCCACAACATTTACATTCTCAGGACAAACACACTCCATGTCTACTCTCTGTGCCTGTTACAAACGAGAATCCACACCCACTGCTGTCACAGCCTGACATCCACGGAAGCTCGAAGTGGGTTTGGGAAAGCATGAGCGTGGATGTCATCCCTGGGATTGACTGAATAGTCATGCTTCCTGCTCCTAACACGTACCCTTCAGAAGCTTTCTTTGGGCGTGACGTTTTAGAGAGCGTAGGGCCTGAAAGCAAACTTCCGATGAGTTGGCTAAATACTTTCCACTGAGCCACGAAATCGACTCGAACAAGGGTCGTTCAACAGAGGTGGGATGGGAGAGCTGGCGTTGCTTCGACAAAAAGCAATCTCTGTAAATAGCTCATCCTCTACTCTGTGCTTCTCCCAAGTCATCTGTCGTTATGATGTTTTTCTAGTTAGAACCTAATTTATTGAATGGGTGCTATCCTGTCTGTGTCTGTCTTGGGTTCTCGTGGCTCCAGAACATGGTTGCAGGACAACACTGCTTGGTCTTTGATTTCTGCTCCCGTGAGACTCGATGGCTGGGCCGCTAGTTACTCTCTTTATTAAATCTGCCCCGCTGGTTAGAGTTCTAGTGACTTGTAACAAATAGTTTACATTAACTACAACTATAGATGCACACAGCTACTGTGCTAGAAAAAGAAAAAAAAAACTGTCATTCCTGGTATGCCAATAAAGGGTTTTTATGAGAGGAAAATGTCTCCGGAAAAGTTCTTTCTAAGTTTGTACATATTTGGGGGCACACTTCGCCTTTATCTAGGTAGTATTCCTCTAGCAAAGTGTGACCAGAAAGTCCCCAGAGATCTTGAAAGAATGTTCTCCATATATGTTTATGAGAACATGGCTGTGCCTCTGGACTTTGCACATCCCCTAAGCTTATCTTGATATGAAGTGTGTACATTTGGAACACTTTAGCGTGTGCCTCCACACACTGAGATTTTACTCTAATAAGCTGCTTCTCAAATGGCCACAAATGGTGCTGCAGAATATCAGCGAGCATCCCTGGCTCCTGTACCTTTAAAATAGCTAAATAACACAATTGTTTTCATGTAATCGCAAAGCTACCAATCACCTTTTATTTTTATTAACGCTTTTCAGTGAACCAACTTGTTTCTTATTAAAAGGAAAGTTGGAGGCTGTAGTGATTTCTCAGTCAGTAAAGCGCTTGCTGGACCGCAGTCTCCAGAAGCCAAGTAAAACAGCCAGACATAGTCGCTCCTCTATAAACCCTGCACGGGGTCGGGGAGGGGGAGGGGGTGGAGATAGGAGGTCCCCTGGGACTTGCTGGCCATCCAGTTTAGCATGCTTTGCAAGTTCTAAGACAATAAAAAATCTCAAATGTATACATACATACATACATACATACATATACACACATACATACACACACATACATACATGCATACATACATAAAATATATGGTAGATGGCACCTGAGAAATGATTCCTGAAGGTGTTCTCTGGTCTCCACAGAGGTGTGTACACATGCACATGCACGAGCGCGTGCACACACCCACAGAGAGAGAGAGAGAGAGAGAGAGAGAGAGAGAGAGATGCTATAAAAGTCAGTTTCACAGAGTAGCAAGAGGCAGACTGCCAGCATCTGCTGCCCTCTGTCTGGCTGGTTTCTGGCTGGTTTTTTCCTTGCCCCCTAGTGGGGCACGTTTTTCTGCTTCTTTTATTTGCCCCCTCCTTCCCTGCCAAGTTTTCCTCTCCTCACTGTCTAATGAAACCGTTAGCTGCTCTTTATTCTTCTCTGGTGCTAAGGTTAATGGACTTTCTCTTCCCGACGCTTTCTCACAGGAATGATAATGAGTTGCCAGCAATCACCCTATTTTCTGGAAACGGTGTCTTTCTTCCGCCTCTAATGCAGGCATCTCTCCTTCACCCTGTACTCTACTCGCAGATCTAGAGAGGGGTTGCTATTGGATCCAGATCTCTGGTTAGGATAAAGGGGACCATAGTAATTAAACAAGTAAGTTCTTGGGTGGGTCCCACCACCTTCCAATCTTTATGGACATAAAAGAGACAACTGTACACATTGCAGCTACTTCTACCAAGCCTGGGACTTAGACAGTCACAGACCTTGCAAGTAGCATCCTTAACTGAGACTACCTAGATCTTTCATTTCGCTGAAGAACCAGCTTTGGGGGAGAAACTTAGAATTTGGGGTGCTGGGTATGAATGAACAGTTGGAGCACCCAACCAAGCAACAGTCCAGACCTTTTGATCTGTGACCTCTCCACCCTGCCAACATGAACGAAAATCAAGGCTACTTGAACAGAAGGACTGCCATACATTGAGACAGTGGGCCTACCAATCTACAGCAGCTGCTAGGTGGCTGATGGACAAATGGAGCAGCTAAAACACCGCATGAACTATCATGAACAAAGGAATGGTTTGTGGGGAGGTTGGATCAGGATGGCCCATGATTTTAGCATGCTATTCATTCTCTTTGGCTGTTAAGATAGTTTCACAATATTGCCCTGGCTGGCCTGAAACTCACTTTGTAGACCAGGCTGACCTCAAACTTGCAAAGATCCTCCTGCCTCTGCTTCTAGAGTGTTGGGTTTACAGGCATGCACACCATGCCCAGGCCAGACAGTCTTAAACTGAAAAACTGTTTCTTTCGGAAGCTTCTGTTTGATATTGTCAGACTGTGGTTGGTCATGAGTGACTAAATCCACAGATGACAAAGCTGAGAATAACAGGGGTATGGTAGACAGAGACCACTTGTTCCCTCCTGGCTGCCTAAACCACGAAATAATCACACAGAAACTATATTCTTTGCAATACTGTTTGGCCAATAGCTTAAGTGTATTTCTGGCTTACTCTTATATCTTAAATTAACCCATTTCTATTCATCTGTGTATCGCCATGTGACTGTGGCTTACCAGGTAAAGTTCCATCTGGCACCTGTCTCTGGTGGGGCTACACGGCTTCTCCCTGACTCTGCCTTCTTTCTCCCAGCATTCAGTTTAGTTTTCCCCACCTAGCTCTATCCTGCCCTATCACAGGCCAAAACAGTTTCTTTATTCGTTAACCGATAAAAGCAACACATATACAGAAGGGCCTCCCACACCAGGGGATGACGTGTCTTCACAGCAAATGGGGCACACAGGGAGGAGAAGCATAAGAAAATGCTTTGGGTGGTAAGATGAAAGACCTGCCAAACATAAAAATGAATTCTTGAGTAACCTCTACTCTCTGCATCCTCAGACAACTCAAGAGCAGGGAAGTCCACTGGCAGTAGCTGGAGGTGAATGCCTGGGTTCTGGTTCATTCCATGTGGGCTGTGTGTACCCAGACAAGTGATGACACTCATCCATAGTGTCCACTCCCTAAAGTAGAGGTGATCACACAGTTGTTCTGAGGGTTTAGTCAAACGATATTATCTACAACACTTACAAGAGTGCCAGGCTACTCTGTAGCGAACTGAAAACTACTCCCAGAGGAGGGGGGAGTTCATGAGACTCGAGTAAACAAAAACTTGCAAGTCCAAGAATGGTTAAACCAAGATTGGGGAAGCTGATCTGAGACTATACATGACAGTACAGGCAGTCAGCGGTTGCCGGGGAGTCACGACTCTCACTGGCCCGGCTTCTCGCAACTCTGAAGTCTGCATGGAGCCCCTGGGATGCAGTTTTCCTGAGTCAGGACTCGTTTTTGGCTTTTCGGTGATGTGGCTGCCTTTGAATCATCCATGATCCTATAAACAACCCCAACGAACTCACTGCATCACTAGGCTGGACTTGGTTGGAATTGTTCCTCTCACACCTTATATGGGATGAATAGATGTTCGCTGACATCTTGTAAGAAATGCTTCAAAGCTCCTAACGATTAGCAAGACCTCAACTGAGAGTCTGTGATGACTTTTACCACCGTGTTCTGACAAAATATGTACCCGGTGAAGTTTTTACAAAAGTGATCAGAAGAGTATAATAATTCCCAAAACAGCTACAGCATAACTTAAAAAATTAATTGAAATTTTCATATATATTGAACAGGGAACTACAAAGGAGATGGCAAAAATTATTTAAAAATGGTGAAAAATATTATTCAGAAATTGTCAACTAGGATGCGGGAGATGGCTCAGCAGGTAAGGGTCTTGCCACCAAGTCTGATGTCCTGAATTTGCTCCCTGGGACCCACACAGTGGAGGGAGAGAGCCACCTCCCACAAACTCTTCTCTGACATCAATACTGACGTCATGTTGTGCCCACTCATTTGTGCATACTCTCTGAATAAGTAAACAAATAACTTTTAAAAATTTTAGAGCTTGGTTAATTAGAAAGCAAAACCATAGCTTGCAGTGGTGGTGCATATCTTTAATCCCAGCACTCAGGAGGCAGAGGCAGGCAGATCTCTGTGAGTTTGAGATCAGCCTGGTGTACAAGAGCTAGTTCCAGAACAGGCACCAAAGTTACACAGAGAAACCCTGTTTCAAAAAACAAAATAAAACAAAAACAAAGAAAGCAAAACCATATTCCCCACCATAGAACATTCAAGATATTAATATGTCAAATGCAAAATATTGAAAACTTTAGCCAGTCAGTGATGGTGGTGCATACCTTTAGTCCCAGCACTTGGGAGGCAGAGGCAGGTGGATCTCTATGAGTTCAAGGCCAGCCTGGTCTACAGAACAAGTTCCAGGACAGGCAGGACAACAAAAAAAGACCCTGTCTCAAAAAAAAAAAAAAAAAGAAAAGAAAAGAAAAGAAAAGAGAAAAGAAGGAAGGAAGAAAAGAAAACTAACAAAGATGAAGCGAATCTGAATATTTACATGATCCTTCTCAAGGAGGCTTAAGCTTCTGTCAAACATGTCATTCAGTGGATGTCTTGATTTTCTAAACGTCCTCTCCAGTTTTTCTCTGAATTACATGTAAAACCCTCTTTTGATATTCCTGCTCTTAAATCATAGTCTTCTGTCTCCCTTAATTCTTTAATTACCACAGATTCACTGACTTCACTGCTTTGTTATGCCAGCAGTAACAGACTGAATGCGGGATGCGGTGTTCGCTATGAGCTGCCGTGTATGCTCTTTATAGACTGCGCTTTGAGCTGAGTAGCTAATGAGTTTGCAACCAGTGGCTCAGCAGCAGCCAAGGATGACCCGTTCCCACGGTGGTGCAGGGCTCTCAGCACATTGTCCTAGATGTCCTAGATGGTCCTCACTGTGATGCGGCTTCCCACAGGCTCTCAGCACATTGTCCTAGATGTCCTAGATGGTCCTCACTGTGATGCGGCTTCCCACAGGCTCTCAGCACATTGTCCTAGATGTCCTGGATGGTCCTCACTGTGATGCGGCTTCCCACAGGCTCTCAGCACATTGTCCTAGATCCTCTCCACTGTGGTACAGGGCTCTCAACACATTGTCCTCAATGTCTCTGAGCAGCACAGCTGTTGATGTAAAGGAAGACTCCAGCCTTCTGGGTTGAGGAGGAGGGGTAGGTAAAGGTTAATTATGACTTCTCAAGAGGTTGGTTTCAGCATTAGCATTTGGCAGATGTGATGGGTTTTTCAGTATATGCAGGTTTAACCTAGGCATAGCAGAAAGATGTGAAAACACCGTCATCTAAACTCAATCAGTCCTCAGCCCGTCTGAGGGAGAGCCCAACTCCATGCTGTGGTCAAATTCTACATCGAGATTTCAACTCAGACCAAGAATGAAAATGCAGCTGTGTGGTGGCGGCACAC